ATGAGGGCGATGTCATCTGCGTACTCCAGAGCGACAAGGCTCTCGCCAGCAACAATTTGAACACCGGGGTTTTGAAAACCGTCCAGTGTTCGCCTCATTATATCATCGATGACGAAGTTGAACAAGAGTGGGGAGAGTGGACAGTAAACAAAATGACTCCGTACGGGAAACTAACACTATGCTTGTGGCGAGCACATAGTTGAAGCATGAAATTTGTTAAAGGAGCAAAGCTAGCGGCGCTCAGCACTGTCTGTAAAGCTTCTCCAGTACGATCAAATGACCACTGGATATCGCCGAGATCTCTAGTCCTGACTGATTTTAGGAAATCCATACCACCAGGCAACCGACAGCGCACGCATACCCTTCAAGAAGTGACTGGACCTTACCGTGGTGTGACGGTTTGTGTCCCTCCATGGCCCATTGGGTAATAGTAGATGGTGTCCGTGCGACACTCATGGTCTTCAATATCACTTTGGTTAATGGTTAGAGGTCTTACCAACACATCCTCATGGCTCCCTTGGTTGGTGGTCGCAACACGGCTGGGGACTTATTCCATGAAAATGGTAGTGCGTTTGCATTCCCTGCCAATCCCCGCTGCCTTGTGATCAGACTTTTAAGCCAAAGGCTTTGGTCGAGGATCCCAATCGTACTCCTGTCTAGGTCCGGACGTCCTGGTAGTATACCACTCTACGTTCAACCGTACAACTATCAGTAATCTGACGACACATCGGCCGTCGCGTGGTGTTACCAGCCGGATGGCCTTAATTGCTGAGATCAGAAGGGCTGGGAAGTGAAAACATCCTACTGCTGAAGTCGCCGGCATTACACTTTAAAGTTTTCCCTCTTCTGACATACCCCACCCAAGTTTAAATATTTTCTCCGCAGGTCCAAGCACTGGGACTGACCGTGCATCATGCTCGGCTGCAGCTTCTGTAACTCCGACTTCAGTAACAAGCTTAAACACCTTGAAATCTGTTTTCCAGCAGCCACCTTCTAGAAGCAAATGCGGAAGACAGGCCTCCCTCGGAAGCTGACGCGCTTTTCATGAAGATGATGACGTTCCTCGGAAAGAGGTATCCGAGTCGGACCCTTTAAATTCCACAACTTTATTTTGAGTAAAATCCTTGTGTAAGAGGAAAATACATTAATACCTCTCTAATGCGCGTCCGCATACAACGACCGTTCCTCCTAAGCGACCGCTCCTTATTGGTCCCATCGAATTCGTATCACGGCCACAGCAGAAGGCTTCCTACTTTCTGGGTTTCTTCCCACATCACTTGTTATATAGCTTTTCAGGGAAATAAACAATGAACATGCTGATCGCCGCGCCTTCGGTGCGGAACTATTCTAGAATTTTCCCTGTGTTTCTATCCAAATCGTTTGAATGAGTGTCTGTAAGTGCATGTACTTCGGAATGCTTGTGATAGGGTAGCACCAAGTTCTTTCCCCACTTTCCAATAAATTATGGTAGTACAGCAACGAAGCGCCACTGATGCGTTGTCGATGATGATGACTGATGTGCGTACCGATCAAACCAAAGGGTCGTTTTATGCCACAGTGACCACTGGGACGGTCGGTCAACTTACCTCATTCTGGCTGATCACTCGTGTTAATGGTTCCTGCTTGAGCACCAAAGTGTCAAAAGAACATCAACTCGGCTGTGGAACAAAATCCACTTTACTGATCACTCAAATACCCATATAATAATGAGTCGTCTGTTCTTTTTTGGAGACTATGCCGCGATCATTTGGTCTCCCATCTGTGTATGTGCGCAGCTAGTCGAACGACAACCTCACGCATTGTCATAATTGGTAGGGAGTTCTGTTTGGAGACCGAGAAACTTCCCTCAGGTCCTTCTATTCTGACTACTACTCAAATTTATCTTTGCATGTAGTAAAGTGTCGACCAACGATATACAGTGAGTTAAAGAATGGCTTCTGACTCAGAGTCCTCATATGTTGACCCTTTGCCAATGTGTCAGATCACTCACACCTATAGGTTTTGTGGTTTTGTAATGACGTCCTTAAAATCGATATTCCCCAGTATTTGTCGGGTGAAATGCTTCCAAGTCTTCACTCCCTTGAGGTTTTCTTTGTAGAAATATTTTGGACATAAAAAGTAACTCCAAGGTGGTGTGCACTCTGAAAGTTCGCCGCTTCCACAGGTGACTAAATCCAATAAACATGAACCTAGCCCATCGTCGGACGAGTTGACATTACGAAATTGAACAGCATCACTTGGATATACATCTCTCATCTCGAGCAGTCCAAGACCGTTTGGAACCAGCATAGAGGCGAGTGCAGTGTCTCCCTTCTAAGGAAAACGCAGTAGACATAATCGGTCAAACTCTTTCTCTATTTCGAAGAGTTTTCTGGATGAAAATTGTCGCGGCTGCCTTAAGTTTCTTTCTGGTCGACCGAAAACCAGGTGCTTCTGGTCACTCAGACCCAAAGCAGATTCTGTTGGCATTGGTTGATTTTTAGTCGTTTTTCCGCGTACGGTACTGATGCAACAGTGAGAAAAATGAGATGAAACCCATCTCCGATGATGTCTCCCCAAAGGCCGTTCTTTCTCAAGATTTCGGCCACAAAAAGCCGCTGGTTAGGCCCATTCTTCTGTTGCCCATTGGAAGCCGAAAAGATTTGCTATGTCGTTGTTATGTCGTTGGTATGTGCTCATTGTTTTGCGCCCCATACTAGCTGAAGCGGTGGCTCTCGTTTGACTGGTTCCGAATTCTTCGGTTCTCGGAAGATGCAATAATTAAGTCAAATCAGTGTGTTGCCTATGGGTATAATCAATCACGCCTACAATTAGTTCGTTTCTAACCTACACATTTTCGTATATCTCCCCTTGTCATCGCCGTAGAAACGTGATTAAGTTTCCCACTCTTGGTTTTTCATTCTCTTTTATGTGCACCTTTGTGACTTATTTTGTTTCCCTATCTCTACCATCATCCAATTCCGGTACCCGTAGCCTACCGCTACGCGACCGCGCAGGGCTTCCGGAATCAACCAGCCCTAACTCTGAAACGCCTTGGTGGTCAACTGCTGCATCTTGCACAACCCCATATTCAAACATCGCGTGCTAAATCGCGCATTGCAAGTTTGAACCGGCAGGACAGTGTACTGTCGGATGGTAGCTCGACTGGGCAGTACACAGGTGTTGAATCCCTACAGAATACCAGTGACGATCAAAAGGGTTCCGTTACTAGGTCAACGAGGCTACCAACGATTGCACCAGCTCCAGGAAACTCCGACCTTGTTACCCCGGAATTGACTCCCATGGCCTTGTATGAACGCAGTTCGGAACCGAATTCGGTGTTACGCAGGGTCCCTTGTCCTCACAAAGGCTGCGGGAAGTCATTTCGTGACAACTCAGCCATGCGCAAGCACTTACACACTCATGGACCTCGTGTTCATGTTTGTGCCGAGTGTGGAAAGGCATTCGTGGAGTCGAGCAAACTAAAGCGACATCAGTTAGTTCATACTGGTGAAAAGCCTTTTCAGTGTAATTTCGAGGTAAGCCGCATTCGTTTTATCTAAACACTTATGGTTATTATGTCTCATTTTTTCCGATTTGCGCCGCACCGTGTATACGGGAATGATTAAGTTAGCGTGTTTTCAATCCTTTATACTAATATGCTAGTACTGGGAATTTGTTTTTTACTTCCGCTTGGTTTGCCGCCAATAAGCAACTTTTTTAATTCCCCCAAGATGACCACTAGAATTTCCAGAAAACACACTTGGCCGATCCCGGATAGAGAACGTTAGTCGCGGTTCTGTGAGGTCAAAACACCTCATATGGCACTGCATCATCACGTTTCAGTTACTTTTCAGTTGCTTTGCTTTATGGCGGTATGTGTCGGCTAAAGCATAAAGATGGTCGACTGACCGGAACTTGATCTCCCTCACAATGATCCATTTTGTGCCGGACTCATGTTGTTGAGTAATCACCTCAGTGCATCACGTAAACGGAAACACTCGGTCAGAGTATTGTTTTTCTTCGATAAAGTGTTCCCTAACACCAACTTAATTTATAAATAGGTATTTTTCACCACTTGAATAACGCTTTGTTTTTATGGGTTTGGAAAACAGAATCGTCGTGCAAAGTTTGCCACTTAACAGTTTGCACCATCTAATTTTGATTTTTATTGTGACCCAAACTTTATGAGCGGACCTACAGTTGACCTGGACAGACTTCCGTAAAACAGCGGACTGTACACGGTCGAGTCAAAGAGACTTGCGCTCCGTATGCCATAAAGTTTATCCGACCTTCCCAAACTTTATGAGCGGACCTACAGTTGACCTGGACAGAATTCCGTAAAACAGTGGACTGTACACGGTTGAGTCAAAGAGACTTCACTCCGTACGCCATAAAGTTTATCCGACCTTACGGGATAGAATCTTGGATGACGGTGGACGCTGAAGCTCCTAACCCAGGGGAGTAGCCGCATCATTATCATTGTTTTTGTCATCATCATCGTCGTTGATAGCAAAATAATTGCCGTACAACTATGTCAGTTTATTTAGATAATGTCTAATAGTGAAAAGGACAGAAACAAAAAATACCCATTTCGAGTCTACCACACCAGCCTTCGATGCTTACACTTTCAAATCTCTCTTCGGTGGAGCCTCTTTTAGGTGTTCACGTAGACTTAAGTAGTTTGCGCCCCCCAGTCCTGTTGTAAGCAAACTTCTCTGTACTTGTCTGGCACTACTTAGTGTCAGAAGGCAAGAAAAACTAAAGCTGTGTTTCCTGCAATAGGATGCATTTCAAGTCATGGGGTGCGCTTTTTGGGGGGTGGGGAGTTGCAGGTTGGTCCGTCAAAGTACATTGGTTCATCGTTAAGTCTAACGAATCAGTAATTTATAATTCTCAGATAGGGTATCCTTTCTTAGATGAAGCTTACTGGATGGACTACTGGAAAACATGCCGGCTCTTCTGGTCCATAAATAAGCAACTTCGCAATTTCCGGGCGTATGGGAACTCCACTCTGATCCACTTGTTCCTGAATCTATCTGATGTTCAGATGTGGCGACGGACTCAATGTCGTCGTCAGTCACTGACGAGCGCAAATTTATTTCGAAAAGTCAGATATAATTAGACTAGTTCGGCCTCAACTTCAAACTCAACTTTATTCGAATGTCCACTGACTAATAAATATAATATATAGTTATTGTTCATCTGTAACAACCTTTCGGTGCTGCCATGCCACCCGAAGAAAGCACGGGGGCACGGATACTGCCAGGTTGCCCAACCTTATATAGGAGAAGTCGGGCTCGAACGACGAACCTTCTGGTCTGTATATTCGTGTTCCATTCACCAAGCCATCTCGCCCCCGTCCACTAAGGTACAATGAAAAACAGAAGGACGAATGAATATGATTTACCGTTGGTTTGTAAACCCTAGAAGTCTCTTAAAACTAGAACATAGTTTCTCTGAACGACAATGCTCTGCTTCTTTTGACATAAACACTGATTTCCATAGTTGAAGAGTTGTGTTGTTGGACCACGGCGTATATATGGAAGACCGTCTCGACACGTGCCATTGTGCTCGTGTTCCTCAGGCATCCGATTGGTCGATGAATTTATCTTATGAAGCGTGTTTCGTATACCGCGCGAAGCCACCTAGTAGGTTATTCCATCTTGGATTTGCACGCTACCTAATGTGAACCTACAGTTTTTTCATCTGTTAGCAACCGTATTTATCGATTGGGATATCTGAGCTACGTAGTATGTGTTCTGAATTGTCAGGCAAAGTGGATGAAACAACTTAGTACAACAGCCACTCCAACACTTTCATCCCCGTTGGAGCGGAAAAGTGTACCCGGTATTGACCAGTTTAGTTACTGTAAGTAAATACCTCCGAAAACTTCTACCAAAGTTCCCGTTCCTTTACTCGTGGCGTAAATCTTGTAGTCAATACAATCGAAACTCTCATGTTACCTCACAAACTGCACGATCTAGCACCTTGGATTTCGGCAAACTGTACGGGCACTTTCGCCCATATGTCGCACTCAACTACACCCAATCACAGGGCTCTGTCAGATCAGACCGCCACATACCTATTGATCAAACTGCAGACAGCGTGCTTGAAAGGTACACTGACGCACTTGTGCCAATAAGCTAAAGTTAAACGTGGCCGGTTTCTCACACAACCCGTGTTTGGCCGAAAGATCTACTTACGGAAAGCATATTAGCGTATTCAGCCTCATGAGACTCTGTAGGGGATGCTTACTTTTTAAATCATTGCTTTTTACACAGCCGCTACTTTGTCTGACTTGAGCACTTTTGTGTTAAAATGTTCTTATTACCGTAGCCGCGAAAACAGGATCCACAAATGAGTAGAAAGAATTTAACACATGTCTCGGTGTCTGTCGTGTGCATCAGAGTGGGAGATCTTTACTATCTGAGTACTGGCTTCTCTACGAGTGTTAACTTACAATTTGAACGACGGACCCTATGAGATCGTTCATATTCAGTTCCACTGGGATTTATCTAATCAGACATTTGGTTTCCACCTTTTTCAAGTTCCCCGTATGGGCTCTGGTCACTAGCATATCCCATGAACTCTCGTTTCAGGGTTGTGGCAAGCGCTTTTCGTTAGATTTCAACCTGCGCACTCATGTGCGAATTCACACCGGGGATCGTCCATACATCTGTCCGTTTGAGAACTGTCTCAAACGCTTCGCACAGTCAACGAACCTCAAGTCTCATATATTAACTCATGCGAAAGTCAGATATCGGTAAGTCCTTTCATTGCAGCGTCCCACTTCGAAATCGTTTCATTGTCTCTATGTTTTACGTGCTATGATCTCATTGTTCCGATCATTAGTTTTGTTAATATATCCAAACAATCACGTGGCTTTTGTCAGTTTCATGCGCATCACTTTTCGTTTTCAGTGGTGCCCGTGGCTCCGTCAGCGCTTCCCAGAATCCTGGATACTTTTCTGATCTAGATGAAATGCCACCGCCCCAGCAGATTTCCTCAAATGAAGCAACCACCTCTTTGGATCCACCATCGAATTATGTTTCACCCGACGCCAGCGTAACAAACTCAGTTCAGCCGGAATCCGTGTCACCCTATCAGTCAACCCTATTGTCCTCTCCGATAAACATTAAACCAATGACTCGAATTCAACAACGGATACTGGGACGTCATGGCCTACAACCAGGATGCCAGTTTACATCCGCTCTGCACAACCAGCAGACCCGATTCCGTCCCGTATCTGGTCACAAATATGTGACACACATAGCCCCATCCATCACGGTTATCCCACGAGTACCGATTATCAAACATGAGGCACCCGAAATTCAGCTTGATACTGACTATTCCACTATCGATGAGTTCTCCGATTCAGTGGAGGATGATACGATAGGCACGAAAGAAGGTTTTCTAAAAGACGGCGGTCAACTGATCGATTCGGCTTCCAGCCCTGGAGTCAATTCGGCTACGAGACATACTTCGCAGCAGTTTATGTGGAATGACGAAGGATTCACAGAACTGGGGAATCAGTTGCACGCACCGACCACTTTAGCCAGCCCATATAGACCCTATTCTGTTTATCTGCGCGGAACCCGCCGGCGCATATTTTCCACAAGTGCAAGCCCTGTCCTTTCGAACTACGCTCTGTGCAGGCAGCAAACTATCCCAGTTTTACGTTTTCCCTCAGCGCATCGGATAGTTTCTATCAGTCGCCCGCCTCCACAACAAACCTGACAGTTCAGGTCTTCAATGTGCGCTAACTCTTCCCGGTCATTCGGTTTTACAAAAGCGCTGATGTGATACTAACTGACAATGGAAACGCTTGTGTTCCTAACCGGCTGATCTCCGCACACCTCTGCACCTCTTGCTGCGCCGATTAGGAGCAGAATCTACTGTTCAACACTCCTTTGCTGGATATGCGTCGTTTCACGCGCCAGTGGTACTTCTTTTCTGCTCTGTCCCTCTTTTATCCCGTTTAGTTTTGTTTTCTGGTTATACCACCGTGTGTGCGAATTTTGTAAATACCGGGCATTGCCCGCTGCCTTCGCCGATTTGGTTGATCTCTTTAATGTATGAATAAATGGGCTACTCCCATTCTCTGCTGTTTAATTGGAATGTTTTCCGACGGATCAACATCACGGTCATATTCTGTCCCGCCTGGTCGCTACTATTTACATTGACTTCCACTGTGTATGATTAGTGTACATAGGTATTGATAATTGCTCGGTATGTGTTAGTTCTGTGATCTTTCTTGGCCAAAACACTTGTTAATGTTGACTGATGTGCACTGACTTCGGTCACAGCGCGCCGCTTTCTCCTATATGGGCCATTAGCTGACAACCACCTTTCCCTGTGTTGTTTTCCCGTTACCCGCTTTAGTCAATCTATCATGAAGACAATTCCATTCACCTTCGCAACTCACTCCTCTTGACCAACCGCACACCTAGATTGTGTTCTGTGTTGTTCGTGTTCTTGATAGTTTTCTAACCAGCATGATCGTGTACAGTCCACTCTGTTGTCATTCACTCAGTCGCCTGCCTCTCCTTCACGAGCCCTCTTTTTATACCTATATGCGCCTTTGGGCGTAATAAAGCTGTATTGCTCACCGACGCTAACCACCTGATTGCTTTCGCCTTCCATCAAACGGTTTGCTGTATACTGAAGTAGGTGGGCTTCTGTTTTATCCCTAACACTTCATTGTGGGATGTAAGCATGAATAGGCTGATTCGCGAACCTTCTGGTTGGACATGAGGATGTTATTTAATGTAGTCCTTTTCAAGAATCACTCTGCAGAATAGAGTGCTTCTGGCAGTTCCCAACTTTATACTGTTCCAGCAGACTCCTCGGGTGGTTGTTCAAGAAACATCTTGCCATCATGAAATGCGAAAATGAAAGAACCAGAAGTTTACTCGTATAATCGACCTCCTTTCGATCACTGGATGACGTGAAGTGTAACAAACTTTACTCAGCTGAAACACTGGAACGATTCATTATCGACTTGTTGGGCCGTGGAAAGTGACTCAATGTGCAACAGAAGAACGGAGTGGCTTCCTTGATAGGTTCTGTGCGAAATCGATTATCACTGTCATGAAGCATTCTGCATCTCAGCCACGTGCTCGCCGCAAAGTTCGATGCATCATTCGACAGGACAGAATTATGCGAATTCGACTTATTGTCGTTGGAAATGAGTAGATTGCTAGATGCTAGTGTGCAGGCCTCCGGATTAAGTACGTGATAGGAAGGAGTGTATCTGAGACTTCGCAGTGAAGTGCAGTTAAACAGTGTACTTGAGCAGGTTACCAGCTTTCGCAAAAGTGACTTGACGTTGAACAAAGCCGTAGGAAATCTTGCGCAGGAATATTTTCAACTGGGTACAGACCATGCATTTTGTGGATTTAGTGATGCTTGGAAAGCAGTTTTCACTTATTTGTCTCATAATGGCTTAGAATTGATCCAAACATTCAATATATCGAGTTTAGAACCGCACGCTCTCGATCAACATTGCCTACAAAGGGGGAATACAATAGCCCTTCGTTGAAAGAGCTTTGGTCGTGTGGTCTCACCGTGGAGGTCAAATCATAGGATGAGTGGTCCAAACGTACTAGTAAGTTGCGCAGCGGCTGGATGCGTGTGAGAACCTACTGAAAAATTCGAGAGGTTTTTCTGATATTTCNGTCGTTAACAGCGAGATTAATGCGTAATTAGGAGCGTTCGAACAGAAACGATGAAGAGATCGCTTGACCGTGATGGCTGCTTTGCTCGAGAACCGGGTGACCTGATTGAGTCAGTGGTGAATCATTTTGCATCCACAGCCAGTCGCCCATAAGTGATGGCTCGGACGAAGAGTAATTTCACGAGATGAATGAACCTTTCAGAGAAGTCAGTACGCGTGACCATTTGATGTGGTTTCTATGACTGAAGATAAGTGACGCTATTTTCCGTCTGAGTGCGAATCGATCGCGCTGTCGATCAGTTGCTCGTTAAGTGTTCAAACTATTGCCCGGGGGTTTGTGGCCGCGAAACTCCCTGGTGCTTTTCTTTTTTAGCATAGAATGACCTTAATTAGAGAAGGAAATCTCAGTGGAAAGAAATACCACAGTGCATTCAGACGGTACGTCAGGGAACTGTACAGCAATCGGAGATGGAACTGTTGATCAAACTACTTTTTAAGCCTGCCTTCGTGTGCTGTTCCCCTTGTCCGCCTGACAAGCTTGTAGCGACCTTCGTTGAATGGGTCACAAGCAGTGCATAAGCAGATATCGATCGGAACAAGCGTTAAACCCTAACTCTGTGTAGTATAAGTGATTACAACCTATGTGTAGGTGTGCAACACGTTTATCTGACAAAACCAGCTTTAACGGTCGCAAAATGTAGGCGACCGGGTAACATATCCTCAACCTCCATGTAGAATATTGTTCACATGAGGAGCCGATCCTCCGTTGACCCATCACGAACAAACTGTGTAGCAACAAACCCTACCTGTGAAACGACGAAGGCCCTCCGCCGCGGAGTTGTCCATTAGAAAACACCAACTGAACAGTTATAGACTATTGAACAGGAAAGCAAAACTCTCATATGCATCTTGTTTTTAAAAACTGAATATCCGTTTTCTTATTGAACGCGCCTTCCTGAACTTTCCGGGGTATTCATTGGCTGTCACGCAAATGTAAACGAATGCTACAAAGAAATTACGCAAATTTCGTTAGGTCGAGACGGAGTCCAAGAAACCTCATACCACTAGCGTGCCTCATCAGTAGTTTCTTCCGTTACACCTGTAGCTACTGAGAGAAACGTGAAAAATTCCTGTCAGATTTCATAAGCGAGGTGGATGAGTGTATTGAAACCGTGTGTGGAAATTCATTTCATACAAAATCAGCTGTTATGATCATTAGTGAAAAGAGCACAGTGACATCAAAATTAAACGCAAGGAGGCTGGTACAAGCGGCTAAAAAAACAACCAGTTGGTACACCGCAACAACCTCAGTATAAAAAGTCCTCAGGAACACCACAACCCGATTCTTGGACACTCCACTTTGTAGGAAAANATTTTTTTCCTCGATGAGTAAATGCAACAAGAAACTGCTTTTTTGTAAAAACGGTTTGCTTGAAGGCAGTGTTTTGCATTCCGGGGTTTTCAAGTAGGAGAATACTGCGTCCCATATTCGAGGAATTTCTCAGTCAATGCTTATTCCTCATTTTGTCTTAATGGACAGCGTTAATTTTAGACAGCACCCTTCACCAGAAGACCTTCCGAAGAGTAGCTACAGCTTTGATGAAGCGGTGACTTCAGCCATTCATCAGGCCTAACACACTTAGAAAGTCCCCAGCGATTTCGTGAGAGGATAACCCACCTACCTCCTACTCGGAAAGCAACAACTTCACAGCAAGGAGAGTAAGTTTATCGTTTTCGAAAAAGTTTGGCGACAATCGGTAGATTTATTGCTGGGCTCCAAGTGTGTAAGGCCTTAATTTCAAATGAATTAATAGATCGTACTCTACACTCCATGATGTATAATGTGCGCATCACGGATCTTCAACAGCTGAGAGGAGCAAACCTATGACTAAGTTAATATTATTGTGGCTGGCACTCGTATTCACGGAACCACCTGCCCACCTACTAATGGGAAATTTCAAGAAAGCAAGATTGCACTATCTTGTTGTTCAGTTAAATGATGGAGTTTAGACGTGTCCGTAGTGTGTTCTTCCTGCTCGGATTCTTTACAAAGGAAATATTGTCGTCAGCAGTCACAGAGATGAACCTGAAGAGATGCTTATGGCTGCGTCACATACCTATCTGTATCTTTTGTCATTATTGACGGGATATCAATTCCAAGTATATAGCTTCAATGATTACCTAGGTAATCCATGAGAATGACTGTTTTCGTAGGCCATCCGCTTTCAATAATCGAACATCTCGTCGACTGGACGGATGCGTCAAGTTCAGGCTACGAACTAAACGAAGGCATGTTTGGGTTGGTTAGAAGACCAGTCACTCTGGACCAAGCATCCATAGCTCGACACCCCTTGCTCCTCAAGAGGATTCTGGTGGGATATTGTGGAATGTTTTGTGATGAACCTATAAATACAGTTGTAACAATCTTCTTTCGTCTCAACAAAGGGCTGTCTCAAGCTTCCCTGTCTTTTGATATGCCATAGTATGGGAGTAATCACATATTCTCAGCTATTTTGTTCCACGGTACAGAGGGAAAACGTGAGTTGACACCAGAATATACAAAGTGGGTACACTTTATGGTTTTGATTTACATTGAAAGCTACGTTCCAGGGTGTGATAGCAGTTATTTTCCGCAGCGGTCAAATTGTGTGCCCACTGTCGGTCAACTCTAATGGGTTTTAGTCAAGAGGGATTCTGGAGGTTCCACAACATACTTAGTATCCTAAGTTCATAACTAGTTTCAGCGTAATGCCGTTTGCCTGTTATATGTTTTCCGCTGAGGCCTCCTCATATGACTTACAGGGGGACGGGAAGTTCCAGTTTGTAGTTAAGCCGGGGGCTGAATGGCAAGGCCAGACGTGGTTTTGAGTCATCAAAACAACTTGACTACTAGCAGATTCCTAGTAGTTAGAAATCTGAAATAAAACAGAACCGAGGCAGCAAATATTCAGCTCTGACCGGGTCAGTCGCATGGACGAAATGGTCATCACATTAGATGGTCGTAAGTTTTATTCCTAGGACATTTAATAATGAAGCGTTTAGCTTCAGGCATCAAGACGTGCAAGGTGCCGAAATGCGTCACAACTGAACAGGTAACCCTCCGCCGAACATTATTTTCAGCGCCAGTTCTTTCTTGGAGCTGATATCAGAATTATTTCTTAAATCCCCCTAAGGCTTATGCCTGTGTAACGGTGATACTACTGATGGGGAGGCATGCGAGTAGTGTGTGTTGTTCGTAGAATTTCGCTTTGCGTCTTTTGAAAAGGGGAGATCTGTTGCGGAATTCGTGGAGCCACT